ATCTTTGTGCCTTGTAGGGTATAGCACAAACTACCGTGCAATGGCAACAACTGATCAAGTTGATGGAGCCCCTTGCCGAGGAGAACACGAAGCTAAAGGAGGCTATGAAAATGATGGAGAAAAACGTCCAGAGGGCCTAGTGCGAATGAGATCTTGCCAAATCAAACACGAGGGACCTGGAGTACTAGAAGGGGGCCTTATCTGAGTAGTTGACGACCGTCTTCGAGTAGCTGAGGCGCAACTCGAGCAGCTGGAGCGCAACTCCGAGCAGCTGAGAAGCGTCTCCGAGTAGAAGAAAGGTAATGCGGATCGGTGAGTTTGTTCTACATTGCTGAGCAGACTAGATGTTGCTGACGATCGTCACTTTTGTAGAACAAGATGCAGAGCTCAGCCTAGTTGTGTTTAGTCATCCATCAACTCCAAGAGAAGAAGGAGAAGGCATCTGGGCGAGCAGAGAAGCTGTCCGAGGAAATAAAAGGTGAGTAGTTCGTGGTCGGAGTTGTTGCTGAAGTGATTTCTTCGTTTGACATATCCTTTTGGTGCCTACAGAATACCATCGAAGGACCAAGGCATAGTTCGACATGCTAGAGCTATAGGCCAGAACCCAGAGGGGGAAACTTGATGCCTTGGTGGCTGGAATCAAGCCTGTGCTTGACTGCATAGACATGGAGGTGGCTCCCTAACCTGACGAGAGGCCACCCCATCTAGATGCCATCGTTGATAGGTGCAAGGCGGCGTGGGAGAACTTCAAAGGGTTCAACCAAGATGCCACTATCTCCGTCGCAACGCACGCCCTGGCGGTGGTCCGGTCTCATTACCTTGTGATCAATCTTCAAGCAATAGGGGCCGAATTCACTAGAGAGATGGATGCGATGAAGTAGGAGCAGCTGAAGGATGAGGTGGAGGACACGGTGAATAAGCTGGCCGACGATGTTGATCTGTTCGGCGAGGTGGATGGTGAGGGCCAAACGCAGTAACCTAAGTGGAGAGCAACCTGTATGGAATATCTTGAGAGGAGAGTTAGATGTGTGAGGGCATAAGTGAACATCTATGTATGTGTATAAATTTTGTAAAGTGACATGTTCATGTTTATGCAGTTTTCTAGCACTTTTGATGAAAAAGAAACTTGTTGTTAACCCTAACGCATTTATACATGGTATAAGTAGCATCCGAGTAGTTAGCTCGTTACTGAGCTCTTGGCCTTGGCTAGCCTGTATTCCATAACGTCGAGCGTAGAGCCCGTGCACGTGTACGAGGAACAGACATGAACAAGGAACCGCAGCCGACCACCCATAATGCAGAGTGCGAAGCCCGTAGCACATGTAGGGAGAGATCAGAGACTGGGTTTTCTCCAAATAACATAGAGCGGAGCGTGTGCTGCTCGATGGTTGGCGAAATATCTTACAGATATTTTAGTATGGAGAAATAGGGCGGAGCATATACGGAGATCATGTGTAATTGTCGGAGTTTGTTAAGGAGTAGCATGGAGCTGGCGACCGTAAATGGAGATTAAACCGGAGTGGAGAAATAATGGAGACAAATTATGGCGATAAAAACTTCATTCATTATGGAGTGGAGAGTACATATCTGGAGCGTTTCAAGGATAGAAACGTATAAGGTGCTCGATGTGCTATGAGTAGGGGATGTCGATTCCATCCATGTCACATAGCCGGTAAGACCCTGGTCGGGTAACCTCTTTGACCACGTAAGGCCCTTCCCAGGGGAAGGAGAGCTTGTGCATCTCTTTGGTTTTCTGCTTTCTATGGAGAACGAGGTCATCGACAACAAATGAATGACCTTTGATATTGCGATTGTAGTATCTTCGCAGGCCTTCTAGGTATTTGGCCGTGCGGATGCAAGTGATCAGGCATTCTTCTTTGGCCATGTCAACGTCCTTCATCCGAACAATTGTGGCTTGCTCTTCATTATAATTCTCTACTCTGGGTGCTTGGAAAGCAATGTCCACGGGAAGTACGGCCTCTGAGCTATAGACCAAAAAATATGGAGATACACCGGTGTTGCGACTAGCTTGAGTGCGCAGTCCCTAGACCATAGTTGGGAGCTCTTTGAGCCATCTGCCCGAATGCTTTTCCTCTTTCTGGTATAGTCTCTTTTTGAGGGCATCGAAGATCATGTCGTTCGCCCATTCAACCTGGCCATTGGCTCTGGGATGGGCGACAGAGACATATTTGATGGAGATGCATCGGTCTTCGCAGAAGTCCCAAAAATGGTGACCAGTGAATGTAGTTCCAAGGTCGGTGATAATGCTATTTGGGAGACCAAATATGTGGATGATATCTTCGAAGAGCTCGACTGCCTTCTTTGCAGTGGCCGAAACAAGCAGCTTGTATTCGATCCACTTGTAGAACTTGTCAATGGCGATGTATACGTACCGAAAATCGCTGGCATAAACATCCAGTCCCCATCATGCAAAAGGCCAAGAAGCTAGGATGGTCTGCAATTCCTGCTCCGGCACGTGTATTTGCTTAGCAAAAAATTAACATCCTTCACAACGTTGGACGAGGTCTTCTGTGTTGGCGATGGTCGTGGGCCAATTAACACTAGCTCAGAAAGCTTTGCTGACCAGGCTTCTCGAGGCCGCATGATTGCCACAGGAACTAGAGTGAATTTTGAGAAGTAGTTTCACTCCCTCTTCTTGGGTGATGCATTTCTGCAGTATCCCTTCCTTGGCGCTTTTCCTCATCAAGTTCTCGTCCACCAGCACGTAATGCTTGCTGCGGTGAATGAGGCATTCGGTTTTGGTCTTGTCGGTGGGTACGTCGGCGCTAGTGAGGTACTTGATGAACTGTTCCCTCCAATCTACGACTAGCGAAGGTACTATAAGTACCAGCTGCTCGGCGGGGGGGATTTCTTGAACTTCCTTCTCTTCCTTAATAGACGACATAAAGAGGTCTTGAACGAAGACCCTAGGTGGAATCGCAGCGCAAGAAGAGCCTATCTTAGATAGGTGGTCGGTGAGCTGATTTTGGTCTCGTACCACATGGTGGTACTCGATATCGTAGAACTTCACTTTGATTTTCTTGATCTCGGCGCAAGTACACGTCCATCTTCCCACTGGAATAGAATCAATCTTTGTTCACCTGGTTGATGACCAGCATGGAGTCTCCGTATACCATGAGGTGTTTGACGCCGAGCTCGATGGCTATACGGATTCCATGGAGGCATGCTTTGTATTCCGCGACGTTGTTGGAGGTTGGAAAATGAATTTGGAGGATGTATCAGAGCTTGTCCTTGGTCGGAGTAATGAATAAAATGCCAGCACTAGCACCGTTGATGTTGAGGGCGCCGTCGAAGTAAATCACCTAGTGCTTGGGGCAGGCAGCGGGGATTGGCTCTTGGATCTCGGTCCGCTCAGCGATGAAGTCAGCCAACGCCTGTGACTTAATAGTAGGCTTGCTTCTAAATTCGATGGAGTAAGTACCGAGCACGACAACCCACTTGATGATGCGGCCATTGGCCTCTTTGTTGTGGAGGATGTCCCCTAGAGGGAACTCGGTGACCACCATGATCTTGTAGTACTCGAAGTAATGGTGGAGCTTGCGCGATGTGACTAGAATGACATACAACAGCTTTTGGACCTAAGGGTAACGAGTCTTGGACTTATTAAGAACCTTGTTGATGAAGTAGACCGGGCATTGTACCTTATAGGCATGCCCAACTTCCTCGCGCTCGACGATGATAGTTGTACTAATGACGCGGGAAGTGGCGGCGATGTAGATTAGTAGGGTTTCGTCTGGTTGAGGCGCCGTCATGATCGGAGGCTTCATTAGAAATGACTTGAGCTGCTCGAAAGCCATATCATCCTCCTCCAACCAGGAAAAGTGCTCGAAGGCCTTGAGTAGTTTGAAGAATGATAGTCCCTTTTTGCCGAGGCGCAATATAAAGCGGCTAAGACCAGCCATGCACCCTGTGAGCTTATGTATATCCTTTACGCATGTTGGCCGTTTCATGTTGGTGATGGTGGAGACCTTGTCGGGGTTGGGTTTGATACAGTGGGCACTAACGATGTAGCCCAGGAGTATGCCGGATATGCACCACAAGGGCAAAGGGTTTTTGTGGCAAAAATTTTCATCACAAAAGCTTATTTTTTCGCCACAAACCAGCCTTTGTGGCAAATTTTTAAATCGTCACTAGTCGCCACAAATACTCACCTCACAGATACTCTGGTGATGAATTTTTGTTCCCCACAAATGACCATACACATTAGTGACAAATTGTACTGCCACTAGTAACGGGACCATTTGTGGCTCATTCGTTGTCACAAAAACATATGCATTAGTGGCAAAAAATGATGCCACTCATAATGTTTTTAGTGGTGATAATAGTTACCACAACTATACAGAATCTATGGCAATATAATTGTCACAATTACCATTGTAAAAGTGACAAATTTTGTGGTCACTAAAGACTACATATTAGTGACAGAAGTTTCGCCATTACTTGAGTTTGTCGTGTCGATGCTTGTTCTCACTATTAAATTATAATTGTGTCTAATTGTGTACCACAATATGTATGGGAAAAAGTGGTAACTTGTTAACATAAATACTTTTCATTTGTGATGCAAACTAATCCTCACATGTAAACTACGGTGACAAACCTTTGCCATAAAAAATTATCTTTTTGTGAGAACTTACAAGACAAAATGTATCAATAGTTTCATCACAAAAAACATAGCATTTGTAGGAAAATATTAGTCATGACAAGTTTTGTCACAAGATAAGTTTCAATTGTGTGAAACACATTAGATGTTGTGGCGACCAAGTTATCATTATTATCCTTGTTGTAGTGACAAAAATAGCTCAACAAATGTACATTATAGCAATATGATTATTTCAAATCTGCACCAATAATATTTATTTCAATAATTCAAATTTGGCATGCAAGCATTACATAAAACTAAGAACACTCAAACCTCAAAATAACTCTCTTGACACTATTTTAAAGTATCACAATAATTATTCAACTAAAGTGTTTAAACTCTAAGATGTTGGAGGTTGCGAGGCACCAATGCATGCAATTAATTCAGCCATTTGATGATCAAGTTCTTCTCTCACTAGGCGAGCAACTTCTCCACTCTGTGCTTGACGCAAAGAACTCAACTTATCATGTTGGGATTGTTGCTCTTCTTGCAGTTGTGCATTTGTTTCAACCACCGTGGAAACTTGGCTTTCCAAAGCTTGTGCTCGTTGCTCAGCAGCCTCAGCACGTTGCTCAACAGCATCTGCACATGCTTGAGCTGCAGCTTCACGCTGTTCAGAAGCCTCAATTTGCGCCTGCAATCTGATTCTTTCCTCAGCCAATCGGTTTACAGCATGAATGCCAACACCACGTGAATGGTTTGGCTTTCGACCAAGAACTAGTGCGAAGTGCTCCACTATTAGCACGGGCGCAGAAGAAATCTTTTCTTGATGTATCCCAGCAGCTTCATGTAGTTTGGTCTGCAAAGCATGAAAAACAAACTAATTAAGAACTCATATACTACACAGCAGGCAAAAGCATTCATATAATGAATCACAGGTATGAGCACAAATTAGCTATAGGATAGTGTAAGATCCAAATGTTCTCCGAGTTGCTACTGTTTAAAAAATCTGCAAACATGTTATCTAATAATTGAAAATTGCAGACAAATTAAATAAAAATTTACAAACAGCTTAATAAAATGATATTGTTCATGATTAGAGATACTGCAAACATTTCGTAGTGCCTAGACTTTTCAACTCATTAAATGAACAATACAGAGACTACATTGCAGAGATAATAACCATGAAAGAGTCATATAATTCTACTACCATACTTTTTCATACAAAAAACACACCACTTCCACCTAATCCTAGTTCAAAAGGTAGGATACAGATTGACAAATGTGAAACCCAAAGGTGCCATCAGAAAAGGAAGTAATATGGTCATACCATTATTTCTTCACCCGTTTGAATGGACCATGTCCCATCAGCCTTTTGATATGTAGCCCTCCAAACTTGCATAGCAGTAGGCCATTCACCAGTTTCTAGGTCTCGCTGCATTGGAATAACAAAAGCATATATTCACTAATTCATAGCGATGTGTAATAGAAAAAAATTTGCCTGATAACTATTTTCCTCACCAGATCGTAAGCGATTTGAGCAATTGATCTAGTTCCTACTTTGGACGCCATCTCTTGCTTTCCTCTATTGATAGAGTTTTGGTTGCTCCTTTTCTGGTTTACAAATTGCATAAATGTATCATTAACAATTATGCAGCACTGTAATTTATGACATGAGTTGTATGTACCTGAAAATCATCATCCGTCCACAAATTCCTTATCAACCATTGCCAACCTTCTGGTGAGACATTTTGTGGCCTTGGCTTGTTGTTTCGGTAAGTTTGAAGTAGACGGTAACGTCGATTATTATATTGACTCTCTACTTGTCTCACGGCACAATCTTTATCTTCTTATGAAAGCTTAGGAAACTTTTGCTGTATAGCAACGATATATTGTAATAATCAGCCACAGAATGCAATGATAACCTATGCATGCCAAATATATTCATTTCATATGAAAAGTAGGTCACCTTTAGTTTTCTCCAAACAGATGCAGTAGTACCAAGATGAAACTTATCCATGTCCCTCCACTTCTTCACTTGGAGTGGTACAGTTCTTACAAGAACTGTTATCTCACTTTTAAATAAACTAGCATGTTCTCCACACACTTTTGCAAATTCTTTAGGGAACTTTATATCAATATGCTTTCCTTTTGCTCTTCTCTTGCGAAGTTGATCATTAATTGTAACTTTTCTACCACTCTTCTTAGCAGGGTCTAGTTAATATTGGGGGGAAACAACAATAACTAAATGTAATATTTCATATTTGTACTTTGTAGTGTACATAAACAAATTTCAGATAGTATAACAGAGCCTAGCTAATTTACTGAAAGAGATTCTAGGTAATTTAGTGAAATGAACAGTAGTGTACAGAAAGATTTTCATATTAGCAAAACACCTTCAGTGTTGTGTGCTGCAGAATTTATTTGAATGTTTTCGTCGATGACCACATCTGAATCCAAATGATCACTTGTATTGTCAGCTCGAGAGGCACGTGGACGTAACCTGCTTGTTCTTTCCCCTATAGGAATAAACCATTCTATAAAGGCAGGATTTTTTATACCAACAAGAATACAAGCCACAAGTGTTCATAGTTGCTCCAGTTCATACGTATGAACAAGTCATGGCGCATTCAATTGTACGAGAACTAACAGGCTTTGGTTAGCTTACAGTGCAATTGGTGGAGATTAATGGAATTACTATCAATATTAAGATACCGAGTTCCTGATAGGATCATGAAAGTTTCCTAAGCATAACTAAAACATTGGACTATAATTCTATAAACATGGCTGCAGAAAATGTTACTTTCCTAGTTTTCTCTTATGTAACATGCTAGTACATCAGATTTTTTTATGCAGAGAAAATATTTAATGGAACCGAATGTATGAATCCTATATATACCAGAGGTGATCAACTGCTCCCTTGGATCAGATAAAACGGAGGCCAACTCATCAAATTCTCTATCAATTTCATCAACAGTTCGTCGAGTTGCCCGTGGAGCCATGTTCCCTGTGAAATAGCAATAGAATCAATGAAGATTTTGCCAAAAGAAATAATCTAAAAAAACAATTTGATAAGCATGAATGCTGGAGTGGGCAGGAGGCATGGATGCCCTAGTGCAACAATATGCAAGGGTTGGTGTTGAGGGCAGCCATGGATGCAATGCATCTTGACGAATCGAAGGCCGGGGTGTCGGTGCAGAGTCGGAGGCATCGCATCTTCACGGATGGTCAGGGTGTGAGGAAAGCGCCGCGAAGATGGGGGCGGCAGCGGCGGCGGCAGTGTGGATCAGGGCCAGGATGATAGGATGTGCAGCGGCATGGATCGGAAATTTGGGGCAGGTGAGTCTCAGCAGCATGGAGATGCGCCGCAGAGGCGTCCGGCCGTGAGGATGGTGAAGCACGGCCTTTGCGGCTGCTTTGACCAAGGAGTAATCATGGGAGGCTACTATTGGTTGCTAGATGGCGGAGGGTTAGAGGGGAAAAAGATAGAAAATACTAGTGCTCACCTTGCGGACTTTACGGTTGCCTATTTCTCCTCTCACGGAATGGCTCGGCTTATTTCTTGGTAGATGAAAAGGACTCCTTATTGCTCTCTCTGTGTGTGTGTGTATATATATATGTGTTGACGTCCGATGCAATATGGCGGGAGTGAAAAAAAATTCACTGAGTAATTGGAGGGAAAGTAGCGTCATTGGTGAATGGATATTTGGAGGGAACAATTTTCACCAATTACAAGGAGGGAAAATGTGCGCTCGGTGCAAAAAAAAAGGTCATAATATTTCTACTGGTAGAAATTATAATATTTAATGGCCAATGTTAATTATTTTCATATATGTGTTTATTGAAAAAGCTAATTATTTTAGGTAATGAATAAAATTCAGCTTCTAACCTCTTCAAATAAGATGTGTCACTTGAAATCTTCCGACGGTATATTCTAAAAACAATGTTGTTTCAATGCCATAGAACTAATATAACATTAATATCCAATACAACAAATAAAAATATATTCATGGAAGACGAAGACCTCCATCGACCTGGATTGCAAAAGTTGGCTAGAGTGTACTGAAGGTTCATGAGTTCCTCATAGTGTTATAACAGAGCCGACAAACGTAAACATTTGGGTGCATTTGGTTTCTTAGGGAAACTTGTCTCGACTCACCTATATGGAATCCAAGAAACTCACCCAGCCGAGCAAGCCGAATGCGCTCTCGAGCTCTGGCAAAGATTTTGCTTGCCAGCACAGGCTTCCATGCAACTCGCAGCTCAACCAAACCTTTGGCTCTCTTACAATTCCTTACCAAGTAAGGCGAGGCAAGATACGACCAAGGATCCAAACACACCCATTATCATGGGCCAAAGACTGGAACTATACATAGAGGGGTCAGTCAAAGATATTCAATACATGTGAACTGAGTGTAGCTTATCTATTTAGGTTTCTTGTGATGGAACCTGACACCCTGTGGTAGTCATCGATGTACTTGCTCCTATTTTCCTGAATATATTCCAGTGTGGCAACTCATTTGGATGAGTGTGCGTGTATGTTTGTAAGCATTTGCCGAGCCCCATTAGCATCGACCCTGACAGTGCCTACAAAATACGAATTCGAATGTTCTTGAATACGAATACAAATGGATGGTTCTAATTCGAACCATATTAGAAATGTACTTGATTAATATATATAAAAGTCATAAATAAATAATTATTTAAATCATATATTAAATATTTATAAAAAATAATATAGAATACCATAATTGTCTATTCATAAAGATCAAGCCAAATACCAACATTCAAACCATTATTAGTTTTGTTTTAGCTGAGTTTTTTTACGAATAAGTAACTCACTCGTGTATTCATCTTGTCCTTAAGAATCGTTATTTGGGCCTGTGGGCCAAGCATGTATTCGTGTCCCTGTAGCCCATATTCTCCAATGTGGTCTGACTATATCTATCCACCCCGGACTCGCGGTGATGCCGTCGCCGCGAACTGACAAACAGACGCTGCCCATCAGACACGAACCATCAACGCCGTGATCCACGGGGCTGCGAGGCTGCGCATCGGTGGTGACAGTGGAGGTCTAACCCAGTGAGGCGAGCACAGGCAGCAGGCGTGCTGCGGTCGGGCAGCGAAGGAAAACGGCCTTGCTAGTGCATACATTCGCTGTCTTTTTGTCAGATTCGAGCAGAAGTGAGCAGGTACTATTTTCTGTTTGTTAAATTAATGGTTATTTTAGTCATGCGACCAATTGGTTAATTTAGCCGTGCGACCTGTTGTTGCTTCATTGCTCTGTACTTTTATTTTTCGATTGCTTCATTCATTAACTGTCTTATTACTCCATATTCTGCAAACTAATGAAAAACCTGTAGTCATATAGAAACAACCTATATTTCTAACTTCTTTTGTAGCAAAAAGCAACAAAAATAGTCCTGCTTTTAGCTTTGCTTTCATTTGCACTCTTTTACATGATAAGATCCACCACATACATGGCTAATGTGATTTTACGGATGATGGTTATCTGTCATTTTAACTGATGAAGAAGATGTCACTACTAAATCAAGTAAATCCAGTGTGACGGACAGGAGGCTGGAATCGGGGCGTTGCCGTGGCAGTCTGGCGGAGCGAAGGTGCAGCATGCTGGTGATGGATCTGGAGTGGTGCTCACGTGTCTGACAACGTGGTGCCCGTGTATTGTGTGTTTATAAGAATGGAAGAAGAAAAAGATAGACTTGACTAACACATGGAACCATCTTAAATATCTTCCATATGTTACGTGTGTTTAATGAATTAGACTGGATACATGAATTAATAAGGAGCTGATGCATTGGCCCTATTTTAATTAAGCTAGCAAGTCGTAACTATGATTTACCATAATATTTTTCTCATTAATTGTGTGTCCTGTGGTGATATTTTTTCCACTAATAAATGTCATATTAGTGAGGTAAATATTTTTTGCCACAAATATCTTGTTAAATAGTGGCAAAACATTGTTTCACCACTCAATTTGCCACTCAAGATGCTTTCTGTGGCGAATTAATATTTTGTCACTAATAACCAACATAAGAGTGGTGAAAGCTAGTTTTTTTCACAGATAGTATGACAAGTAGTGGCAAATTTAAATTTCGCCATAATATTTTCTCACCAATTGTGTGTCCTGCGACGATAATTTATTTTGCCACTAATAAATGTCATATCAGTGGGGTAAATATTCTTTTGCCACATATATCATGTTAAATAGTGGCAACATAATGTTTCGCCACTTGATTTGCCACTAAAGATGTTTTCTGTGGCGAATTAATACTTTGTCACTAATAACCAACATAATAGTGAGGAAAACTAGGTTTGTCACAAATAGTATGAGCATTAGTGGCAAAGATAAATTTCGCCACATCATTTTATCACTAATGCTCCATCTTCCTGTAGTGGATGGAACTCCAAAGATGCACTTTGAAGGGTTCAACTTTCATCGGAATCTTTTCAGGTTGGTGAACATTTCTTCGAGGTCGGCGATAAGATTATCGGTGGTTTTGGATTTGACGACCACATCATCGATGTAAGCTTCGATGTTGCGGCCTATCTATTGATCAAGGCACATCTGAATGGCCCTTTGGTAGGTCGCCCTGGCGTTCTTGAGTCTGAAGGACATGGTGGTATAGCAATACACACCGAAAGGCGTGATGAACGACGTTTTGATTTGGTCATCCTCTTTGAGGGATATTTGGTGATAGCCGGAGTAATAGTCGAGGAAGAGAGCAG